ACGTAGTAAATGCTGCGATAAATACGTTATCAGCGGGGTTGGGCCGCGGGCACACCCCCTTGGCGCTGCTGTACTGAATGAGGGCTGCATCCTCAGGAAGTTGAAATATTTAACATCGTGGGTTCCTGAGAACAACATGCTGAAAAATGTCTGAGGCTTGCTCACGATCGCAGTTTGAGTCATATTGCTTTTTTGAGCAAACTTTCCCCAGAAAGAATTCAGACACAGTTTGGCTACTTGTCTTTTCGCGAGGTTGCGTTCGATATTTGAGGCATCCAGTAAGATGCCTTGATTCTCATGATAGTCTTTAATGTACTGCCTTCTACCCTCATCATCTGTCACATCTGCAGGGTACCCGCTCGCTTCTTGCTTCCCCTTGAGAAACGTGCTAATGTAGCCTCTAAACAGAGAGGAGCTCTGTTCTTTGAAATGCCACACTTCCTGAATTTCACCAAGCCTGTATCCTTTATCCAGAGCTTTCACAAACTCCAGCGTGACCCACACGCCCAAGAGCGCCCTCTCTTCCTCAGAATGCAGGCACGGCCCGCTCTGCAGATTGACCTCAGCACGGGATTTACACAGTGTGAACACAAGTCTCCCTCTGCTGGTTCTGTAGGGTAACACAGGGAAAAACCAAACCTCTGGGTGGATATACTTTAGCCTTAATGAAGCCGAAATAAGACTGGACAGGCTGAAAATCCCTAAATATAATCTCAGGGTGACCCACTGGGTACGGACACGTGTAATTTACGTAGGGATACAACGATGTGAAATCGACGTAATTAATTTTTTCATTTTCACCAGCTGAATATCTGAGATAAACGGGGCTAACTCGGCCACCGTACAAAGGCTCTCGCGGTGATAATGGCTCTGGGGCTCTATAGCTCTGCAGGAAAGCTTTCACACACTCGTGAGATTTTTTTCATCTCAGTCCACCTATGTTCCTCCATAACCACGACGTTCAGACCGTACACGGTCTGCAGTTTAGCCAGCCTATCCCTAGTCTCTTGATGCATCTGCTCGAAGGATTTTCTCATTAAAGGATGGATTCCGTGGCCCGGAAAGCAACTAAGACAGCTGTGGTAAAAACAGCCCAGGAATTCAAAAGCTGTCTCTTCCCCGTTCAGCTCACCATACCCATCCACACGCCAAAGCGTTTCTCCCCGTGATTTAAGGCGTGCTGGATGAAAACCCCCTCTGTGGCCATAACCCACTCGAGCCATTGGATGCTTGCATTTGAATATTTCTTAATTTTTTTAAAAACACAGCCATGAAAGCCGATGCTATCGTGGATCGTTTAAAAGGATCGAGCTTAGTCTCATTAATGAAATTCTCTCTAAATTTCATACAGGCCTGCATTAGAATGACGGTGTCATTTTTACAATATCTCACGGACTCCTTTGCAAAATCAAATTCTCCCTGACACACGCTCTCATACCAACTCATAAACTCAGCTCGCTTCTTGACACTCATTTGATCAACCCCGTAATACCTTGGGTGGGGGAACGGGCCCACATAATTCAAATGCTCCTCTGAGCTGAACCGATGGGGGAAGCGTCCTTTTGCGCTCTCGCTGAGGCCGAGCGCTGCAGGGAGCGAGGCGAGGGGGAAGGGCAGGAATGAGGCTGAATCGATGAATCTCTGCTGGTAGTCTGGCTCTATGAATAATATCAATTTTGAACCCTGCATAATCAGATTGGGCTTTATCCTCAGAGACAGCATAGCCTGAATCAAAATATGGCCATCAAACCCTCTGGAATTATGAGCAAGAAACACCACTTTGCAATAATGTGGGGCTCGATAGTGCATCAGACATTTTGTTGCACAGTCAGTTCCAAAGTGATCCCACTCCTCACCACTGACTGTTATAGCGCTTACATAAAAAGGTGTGGGTACACCGTTCTGATCCGGGTATGTTTCAAAGTCATAGAATATTATTTTTTTGTCCTTAATATGATCTTCTTTTTCTGGCATCGGTAAGGTCTGTATGTAACAATTGTGGGTTGCCTCATCATCTACGAACCCCTGGCAAATGTTACAGCACAAGTCTGGGCATTTGTGGGGTTTCACGTTTCTAGCCAGAGGGATGTAATACAATCTCGAGCATTTTAGACATTTTTTATGGATTTGACATATACTGGCATGGGTCTCTGACTGCAGGTGCCACGTGATCTCTTTGTGCTTCGCCAGACAGTAGGGGGAGGCACACCTGCGGTTACAATGTGAACACACAATGCTCTCAGCGAGGGGGGCTTGCATGCCAGCGCACTCAGTGCTAAAACACACTTTACAATGACCGGAGCATTTATGTCTGAGATGATTGTCATAACCTTTATGGCAATAATTACATAAATATCTCGCACCTAGGAACGCTTTTGCATTTTTAATGCCATAATAATGGTTGTCAAAGAGAAAGAGGTATAACGGCTGATCTTTTGGAGTGTTAGAGGTTTGAAATATATTCAAATGATCTTTATCTGTTCTATAAAACACCACAATTTTACGCTGGGTTACCTCTTCAAATTTTGACACGTCTGTGAAACACACAGACGTCTGCTCGTTTAGACCGGCCTCTCTCTGCAATTCACGAGCTCTGCTCAGCGCCTCAGCGTCTGTGATTTCAGGAGACATGAGATGGGCGAGGCTAATGGCAAAACACAACTGATTGTCTTTATTCTCTACTATGTAGAGAAATCTCTGCTTCTTTTTGAAAATCTCACAGGCTAGAGTTTTTTGCAGCTGCATCTACCGCCCCCCGTGGGGGTTCTGACAATTTGAACTACTAGCTCTGTTAACACAGAAAAGTTGGATTGGATAGTTTTGTCTAGTAAATCTCTTATTTCATGCAATAACGCACTTACTTGGGCGTGTAAAATGTCTAACATGTTTAGCTGATCTAGTTATTGAGCATTGTCAATACGTTTTTGGGATGCCTGTGTTATTTCCTGCAGTAGCGCAGTCACGCGTGCTTCTAATATGCTTATTGTATTAGACCCCTCTGATGGCTGAACATCGAAAAAACATTCATCTCTGGACACTTCATTCAGATCTTGGTCCATCTTAGTTTTTAATAACACTGTTGTTGCTATAACAAGCTAGAATATCACCCATTAATTGAAAGGATTCACACAACAGTCGGTTCAAATGCATCATTAACATGTTCGAGTGACACTTAGCGTACGGATTGAAGGTCCTGTCATCTCGCGTTCCTGGACATCCACAATCAGGCGCCTGGAGTGCCGTTCTCCTCCTCCTCCTTCTCCTACGAGAGCCTGCAGGGGTAAATAAAAACGAAGGTTAATACAGGATGCTGATGAATGAGAACTAAAAAAAAAAAAAATACACGGTGAAATAATAATAATATTAGACTTACTTGAGGAGGAGTCAGAAGATGATGAACGCCGACGCTTTGAACGGCTTGATCCGACCGAAGCCCTGCTCGAGCGCGGTCGCTTTGGCTCTGGGTCTGCTGCGGTTTGTGGCTCTGGCTCCGGCGGCACCACTGCTGTTTCTCCTGGGGCTGCTTGAATCACAGGTTTCTGATCAGGCTCGTCTTGAGGGGGCGCTGTCTGAGTGGCTTGATCCTGAACTTCCGGTCCCTCTTGACTGTATTGTTGCTCTTCTTCTTCCTCAACAGTAGCCGGGGTATGCATCAGCAGCACATCGTCTGGAACTACAAGTTAATACGAGCGGTAAGAACACTTATTATATACTAAAAAGGTATACAGATAGAGTTAACCGAGAGAATGTGAACATACTCACTTTCTTGAGGGTCAGGTAGGGGCTGTTGATGGTGGTTAGCCGATTCTTTTTTGAAAGAAAAAGAGAGAGTTCAGCTGTATTGTCTACACAGGCTATATATTTTTTAATCTGGTTTTTGATTCTTTAAACTTACCAAACACACGCGGTGTCAGTAGCGCTTGTTGTTGTTGTTGCTGCTGTCGAAAAGCTCGTTCATACACACGAAAATAGGTGTCTGTTGGGTGTAGAATAGTTTTTTCAGAAAAAAGAAACCAAATATACATAGAGTAGAGTTAGTAGCTAAAAAGTAGCAGGTAAAATACTTACTGAATCGGTCTTCCACAGGAGCTCCGTTATTAGCATTGTTGGACCCCCCTGGTGTGAGTTAAGCGGTAGCATTAACACACATACTTTTCAAGTAGAACAAAAATAATTGTATTTGTTTTTCGTGCAGAGTTACCTGTGCTCATGCTGGTCTTGTCTTGTCTGGACACCTCTAAAAACGCTCCTTAAACCCATTCTTTAAACCCAAGGTATTTATAACAGAGTTTTATGAAGTGTATGCTTACCTAAGCAGTGGTTAGTGATAAAAAGAGCTCTGGCTTGTTGTAAGCGACGCGTCTGTTACTGATAATACCCCGAGTCGTGCAGAAAACGCTGTTCATTGACTGTAGTTTGACATTTTTGTCTTGCTACTCTTTTTGTGCAATAGAAAAAGCTGTTCATCAACAGTAGCTCGATATTCTGTCTTGCTATTCCTTGTTTGCAACAGAAGGTAAAATGAACAAGTGAACCACTGTTGGGTGTTTATTCCAAGCTACAAACCAATATCAAATACAGTTATATTCTTATCTACATAACCATAGGCGTGTATACAATGTAACTGCTGTTTGTTTATCTTTTCAGATGCGGTTAACCACAACCTCCTGATCTCCAGCTGCAAATGCGTCATGACTTCCTTATCTTCATCAACAGATGCAAGGGGGTTGGAGGGTACACCCAGGGACCACGTGGAGGCCACGTGGGGACCAGAAACCGGAAGAATGAAGCTGATTGGATGGGCGGGACTAAGGACCGGAAGAACGATTCTGATTGGATGAGAGGCGGGACTAAGGGGGCTTGGCCACCTGTCAAATTATGTTTGATGAAAGGTGGTACCTTACTTGTGTGTCCTGCACTCTCTCCTGCTGCCCTAGACTGTTTCTTCTGCCTGCGGCTCTCACCTGCCAAGAGCCAGCGCAGTCGGCTAACCAGGTCCACAGTATTCCACCAGAACTAGCTCCAACCTCAGCATAGCTGTTCAGTTCTCTCATGCTCTCTCCCTCTGCTCTCCTTTAGCAAGCTGCGTCCCACCTCCAACCCTGGGTTGCAACACCAGCAGTCCAGTCCACCCAGCGCTCCCAGCTGCCCCGCGACCGGCGGATGAGACCAGCTCTGTCACTCCTCGTCTATACACTCATTAAATGCACTTATCTTGTCAAGCCTGAGTCTGAGTCCTGCATTCCTTTTGAGTCCACTCACACACTATGCACGGCATGCTGTAACAATCAGATCTCCAAGGCTCCACCTAACTTTCTACAATCTTTAAGTGTTTAATGGTTAAGTCCTATAAAGACATGGACAATTATAACGGTTTGATATTTGCTTAAGCACATTTTGTTTGTTTATATTTGAGACTGATGAAATCAGATTGCCTTTCGGGTAAGATGGGAAAGGCCAGTTGACTGTTATATTTTATAAAGTATTCACAAAGAGGCTGACAGGAAACAAGTGAGAGA